GTCAGTTTCTAGTGTACAAGGTTAATATGCTTCTCCGTAAGGGACATAGTTGCGGATAGTCTAAATAGAAATTCACTGAAGTTGGAAAACGCGCTAGGACGAAAAAAAACAGTGGAATTTACAACTACCATAGGACAGTGCACAAACTGTAATAATGGTTTATAATAATGCATTTTTATGTTAAATAACGCTCTGCTATGGTAATATCTTCTATCTTTGTCTCTAGCTTCGGACGTAATATCTCAGCGAAAACAAATAAATCCTCTTTTCTGGGAACTTCGAAATGTGATATTAGATACGAACTTATCTTTTGCCGTATCGAACGTGAAGGAATCACGTTAGATTGTGATTCATGGTTAACGACAACATCACCGCGCGACGCCATTGGGTGCGACATGGTTTATATGAGGACAATATTTTCTTGTAAAAAATGCCTTTTTTGAAGAGGACACAATTTTATAATCAATGTGATTTTACAACCAGCGCATTTTTACTCAAGTCGGTTGCTACGGTCTGGATGTTAACGCGCGTTACGCCGTGATATACTAAAACACGGGATTGAACACAGGCACTGCATTTATTTAGGCAATGTTTCTTTCATTACAAGACAAAAAATGACTAAAGTTATAATAAGGGAGAAATGATTCAAACCAGTACCAACACCAACACCAACACCAACTTTCTTTAATTGCCGACTGTACACACAATCAAAATTATAACTTATTTCGTCAGTTCTCTGAAGAGGTCAAATCTATTTTGGTGATACGACAAGAGAAGATGAAATCGCCATATCATTTATTTTTTCATTTGAGTGCTGATTGTTTAATAGACTCGGCCCACTGATCTTTGTAATCTCTTGCGTGTATTAATTTTGGATCAATGAGAAACCACATCCACTAATAATAATTAATTCAAAATGGAACACACCATTCGTTGTAGAAAGATCTACGTCGAGAGCACTATTCTACTATTTCGTCTTGAAAACTGTTGTTCAGGTAAAACAGCTATGTTAGTTCATTTAATGTTAGTTAATGTTAGTTCATAAATGAACTCTCCCTTTCAACGCATGAAATATTAATGAAGAAGCTTCTGCCGTTACCTTCCACCAGGAAACGATGACGAGGTTCCACGCCGCGCGCAGCACGTATGATGCCAGGACCCAGGCTTGCAGCAACACGACGTCGCCCAGCGCAGCGGTCAGGCACGCCGCGCACGTCAACGCACGCACCGTGGGACTGCGCCTCTCTGCGCACGCGCACGCCCCGCCACTTCCTGTCAGCCCGCCCAGCGACTGCGCGAATTCTCGAATGTTTATTTATTTACGTCAAAAACAGTTAGAGCTGTGCGTGACGTGCTATGGGGAGAAGTTAATTTGAAGTTACATTTATGTCCAGAAGCAAAACAAGGGGCCATCTCAGCATTTTCTCGAGGATCAAGCAAACTGGACCAAAACCTGATCGAGATGGGGGTCATTGACCCAGAAGCTTCTCCATTGAGGAACGTCACCAAGCACATTTTATTTGTTTGTTTTTTTGGTTAAATACTAGTCATATGGTCAGGATTGTAAATGACTTAATGGAAGAATTTTTCAAGTAATTTTTAATTATGTATAATCATAATAGTTTGGAAAAGTATGACAGGCATCTTGTATTTTTATGACATAATCCCCCCTCCCGCTTAATTTCATAATACAGGAGGTAAAACTGATATTCCCTTGCAATTGCAACTCGACAAAGTAATAACATTGATGATATATCTGCTCTGAAGATACAACGTACACAAGAAGCAACAAAATATTCAACCTTAATCAGTTCATAAAAAACGATTAATTTCATCGATAGGTATTCAAAAATGTATTAAGATAAATTGTATATATTTTAACGAATTAAATTCGAAATATGCAGTTGCATAATATAATATAACATATTGACGCTCTCAGTCAAAATACAGTATCCAAAATTCAAAATAAATGAGTATGATAAAATTGCCATTTAGGAATAATATGCCCCTCTTGCCACTTCAATAAGTGTCACAAGTTCAGAAAAAAAACATTTTCACAATACAATAAAATACCTGCAAATTATTTTTTTTACTTTTCCAAGAAAAGTTCATGGCTCAAACAATTCACAATTACCTGAACTAACATCAAGGCCAATTCTGATCACTTAAAACTTTCCTCTTAATTAATCTTTACCAAATACTGAATTTTAATACATTTGGAAGGATAATGAAATGAAATAATATTTTTTTATCATTTGACAGAAATCAGAAATTTGTAACAGAGGTGTTAGATTGCGAACTGTTAGTATCCAGTTCTCAACTATTAATAAACGTAAATATCCCCGAGAGACACGTGGGGCGATCAAGAAAAACAAAATCGCAACGACATCTGACACGAAAGAAGCGAAGCATGTGAGAAGAGCGTGCCTCTGTTGGGCCCCAGCACCGCGCACACGGCGTGCGAGTAGAGTAGGACCACTAGCACGAAAACCGCCCACAGCAGCCACGCCATGGCTGCCTGACCCCGCGCGCCGGGCGCTCGCTCGCTCTCTGGCCCGCCTGCCTGCCCGTCTGCCTGCCGGCTGTCGCCCGCCGACGCCCCACAATGCCACCCCCTCCCACACTCCGTTGCCGCGCGACTGGCTGGCAATAGGCAAGAGACCCTAGACGTAGCCTAAGAAGGGACCAAAATGGCGGTTCCGAAATCAAGCGAACATCGTGTTCGGAAAATATCCTTCCAGTCTGAACAGTGCTGTCCAGACACGCCTCTTCGTCGTACGATAATGTTGGTGGATGCCTCCCGTAAAGACGTGATTGGAGGACACGAATCACTTGGTAGACGTACGCATATCACATTGAAGACTCAGTTTTAAAATAAACATAATTATTATCAAAAATGAGGTTATGAGCGACAGAGTGGACTAATCCACAAAATTGTTATTTACGTTTTTTGTGGAAGTTCAATCTTTAAAGGTAGATCTATCGATTGGACAGTGGACCAAGCAACCTTTTGGAATCGATCGCTATATGGCACCACAATACACCTTTTCCATCTCGCCTTTGGCACACTGCGTTGGAAGCAAAGTGGTTTACCCTGATGTTTATCTACTTTGATGCTAAAAAAGGTACGTTGTATAATGTTCGCGGGCGACAACATTCACAATATGCGTTATAATAACTCATAATGTACGTGAAGGTAATATGGCCACGTTAAGCGCCTCAAATTTTGATGTTCATATATTTCAACATTTGGCCAAATTAACAGCATCATAATGGAATTTAACACTTTTGCTTCAAGTTGAATCACAATATCCTATTTCAATATAAAGGGATTCAGTAATATTTTGTTGTTAATTTACAAAAACATTGTAATTTGAAAGTAATATGCCCACAGGCAGGTGTTATGGCCATTGTCAAATTAACGTGTTTCTTGTAGCATGACCATGGAACTAGGGCTAGCTGTACTAATATATAATATACATTATACTCTTACAGTCTAACCTTACAAAAATACGGCCTGAAATAAATTATTTTTTAAAACAATAGCGCGAGAGTTTTTAAGAAGTTTACAAGAAGCTCAATAAGAAATTATAAGGACAAAGCATCTTCAGCGCTTCTCGACAATAAAAGCTCCAGAGTGCGAATGCGCGAATCAACAAGTCTGGTAGGGCGTTCTTACACTCTGCCAGACTGCATGCTAGTACTGTCAATAGGAAATCGTAACTACTAACAACATAGTCGCTACTTGGCCACATTAACTGCACTGGTCATATTTGCATTATTTACTTTGTATGTTTATATGGGATGAAGCAATCGCATCTAGGTGTCCTTAAAAGATACACTCATGCCTTTCATATTATATTAGAAACCTCGACCAAACTAATTACGTATTCTGACGAAGGTGGGGCAGAACCACAATATTAAATTGTCAGTGATATGTCATTTCATTTGTGCATCTCCAGATCTGGGTGTGGATGAAATAAATCATAAATGTCTTGTAAGAGACTACTCATACCTGCCGGGTTGACAAGATGTTGTTCTAATAGAAAGGACAAAAACTTCATCCACACATTTATATACCTACAGATTGGCAATCAGTAATACAAAATGATAGGAAGAAAAATCCATCCTGACTTTGATTCAAATGATCCAATCTGTCTTTGTTTCTTCCAAGGTACTTACACGAATCATTACAAACAGAAAACAGTTGGAATCGAAAACTAAGTTGGAATGGTTGAAAATCCAACGGCTAGGATTTAAAAAAGAATCTTCTAATAAAATTTAATATAAATATTCAAATAATGAAATAGTTAATTTTGGGACTCTTGATATTAGTAAAAGAAAATCACTTACAATAGAAAATGAACTTCCACTCCTAGATCCCACTGGCAATATCATCAGTGAAGACAGAAGAAAGGACATTATTCAACTACTGGCCTTTGTTCCCTCAGTAGATCATGATTTTTGCAATATTCGAAAATCGGTACAGGCCCCTGGAGGTGAGCTACTAACCGATGTCTTACTGGATGAGGAAGTTGTTTAAAAGTAATTTATATTGTTCAGTGTGATTTAACTGTACTTTCTATTATTACGTTTACAACTTTTGATCAAATTAAATGCAATAAATATGTTATTATTTATTGCACCAAAATAAAACCAAGATCTTAAAAGAACAACAAATATTGTTACCTTCTACAAAAATTGTTTCTATCTCATAATATTGATATTGTAATTTGTATGTACGGAGAATAATATAACTATCACTTATTTGGTGAGAACTTTATTAACTTGATTACAAGTTCATACTTTAAGATTTACGTTGATGTGGGGAGAAGGATGAAATCGAATGTTCGAAAACTGTTTACGAATGAGGACTTATCTTTGTCATTAAAAGACACAAAAACGTACCAGAAAAACGAGCGAATCCAGTTGTCGGTGATACAAGGGGATTCGGAAGACGATTTATCAATGAAATCTAGAAGTTAATAATTGATACCTGTCCCGAATATTGAGGTCAAGATGTTGGGCAAAGAGCCTAGTGATTATTGGTCAAGGTCAAGTAATATTTAAGTATGATTTTTTAAATATTTTTTAATTGAATATCATATACATATGTAGCTTTTGAGTTCTTTTGGAAATCGATGCCCAAAAAATCGACGTTTTCGTAACATCTCAGTGGGAGTTGGATTTTGTAATGCGATCATTAAACAAATGTTCAGAAAAATTATTGTATGTATCTCTGTCCATGTCCATCCTGTTATAAAATACTGTCTCTATTGGGTAACGTAAGACTTTCTCGCAAAGAAAATCTGAAAAGAATTCAAAAGTTAGCTACTAAGTTTACGTATGGGAAAAAATAGGAATATTGTGGGAATCACTCGAAACAACGAAGAAATCAAATTTTCGCGCCTTATACAAGTATAAATCGTACGGCGAGTGGTTTAGAAAATCCAGTGCATTTCGGCAGTAAAAACTAAATTCATAAAATTGAAACAAAAAAAAACTAAGAGAAAACAGGAGGTAATACAATTTTTCAACGTATCTAGTGTTTATAGATTACAGCAAGGCATTTGATAAAGTTTTAAAAACAAGTTCTGGAACATAATAGACAGAAGAGGAATTCCCCTACACATTATTGAAGTTATTAAAAACATATATAATGGTACACAAATTAACATAAAAATAAAGGAGAGATTCTACAAGAGACGATTAATAAAAGTGTTAGACAAGGGTGTAGTTTGTCACCCCATCTTATTTAATCTCTATTTAAACAACGCTGTTAGATAATGGAAACAGGTGCTTATTTTTTACATGTTACAGACATTCTTAAATAATCCAATTTTGTTAAAACTATAATATTTGCTGACGATCAGGTACTTATTACAGACAATGAGAACCAATTACAGAGAGCTCTGTTTAAATTGCAACAGATAACAGCAGAGTATAACTTAAAATTAATCAGAAGTCTCACAAGCTCATTCCGATCAAAATATATTCAAAACTTTTGTGTTATTCAACTGACATAAATTCTCCGAATGTATTATTCATATATGTAAACATAATGGCACAAAATTAGTTATTTCACCACAATATATTTTCATCTTTACTTTCTCATTTCACGAGAAGAATTTGGGCATTACGCCTCAATTACTAGATTTTGTAATATTCAACATGAACAAGTTATGAAAATATTTAATATTGTGAACCTCTTATTAATCAAGAACTCATGAAAATATTTAATATTATATTTTTCCTTTAACAACGTACTTCAAATGGGTAGTTGTGAGCTTGAAGTTTTTTCATAGGGAAAGAATATTTAACCAGAGTTCTATTCACATCTTACTGATTAATGGTGGTCTATATTGAAACTCTAAAGACAAAGATAGAAGATTTTTTGGGGTTCTTGAAAATGAGAAAAATCATAAAATAAAAACACATTAAAGGCGTGAAATATTTTAATATTTCTTTATACTCCAGCATTATTTTAAGCTCTTTTCATTAATTAAAGGTACTATAGGTATTAATTATGTAAACATCAAAAGAAATCTGAGATCTTTGGTGCAAAAAGGTAACAATACAATTTTTCTGACTAAACAGAGGATTGATCCAAGTTCAGGATCAGGAATACATTTGTCTGACTCGTATTCCATGTTTTACACACCACATTGCAATAAGATATTTGAAATATTCGTCTCGTGTTTTAAAACTAAAAAAGACAATAAATACCAAAACTTGGATAAGGGAATTGATCATTATCCATGCATTTCATCTTCCTCATTCTCTAAAAATGTATGGCTTCTACAAAGACTTCTTTGTTGCAACAGTAATTCCTCCCATCCTTGTTAAAACATATCTGCCCATTAGCAATGCATAACATTGAGAATGAACAAATCAAATAGATGAAAAATATACTTCAATATATATTCTTGTGAAAACTGTCGTTGACTAGATGGACAAGAAATGACTTCGTGTAACGTCGAAGATCTCAATACACCATATTTCCTTCAAAATTCCCATTAATTTATCTCAAAAGTAGATCTTAGTCCTTGGGTAATGCACTGTCACTCTTTCCACGAGAATACACTCGCAACCCGGAGTTTTTGTTTCCCAACATCCGGTCCAACAAAGATTGTTTGTTCTTTCGGCGAACGTTCAGGACTTCTCGGCACAGTTCCAAAAAGGCATCAGCAACCTGAGTTACTTGCTCAGAAGCAGCTACCTCTCCAAACCAGCATTCATAATCCTTCGCCAGAATCTCGCCTGAAATCAAATTATAAAACATTTTTAAAAAAAGAACTCACAATTTCAAACGCTTAAATTGTATGGCAAACATAGGTAGGGTATCACAGATATTGACCTAATACAATGCAGATTTTCTAGTTGACCGATCATTCACTTTAGACATTTTTGACAGCTTCGATATTGAAATATTTACTTGAAGAACGAATTTTTCACTAAAAGTGCTCTAGCTTTTACTTGCGTCTTCACGTTTGATCAATATTTCGGTCTCCAAAGACAAACTTCGAAACTAGTGTAGACCCAATGAAATAAAGGTCAAACAACTTCATAGTACTGATGCGCTTAATTGAAATTGTTATTGTAACAAACTGAGTATATATTTTCCAGCAATATTCTACTCGTAACATAAAAAGCCGCTTTGAATGGCGTCGCCCTTGATATCAGCTCCACCAAACTAACAATTAGAATTGACCTCATTAACAAAATAAAAATAAAATTGTTATTAGAATCAAGCTAATTTGTTTGAAAATAATGCAATCTATACATCATTATAAACCGATAAGTTTAAATTATTATTTTACACCTATTGACAGTTTATGTTAAACATTAACGTGTGCAAATGTTTTCTGATTCCTAATGAGTATTGCCAATTATCTTTGCGACCCAGTAGGTACTTAGAAGTATTATTATTATTTTTATTATTATTATTTTTTTTATTATTATTATTTTTATTATTATTATTATTTTTATTATTTTTTTATTATTATTATTTTTATTATTATAATTTTTATTATTATAATTTTTATTATTATAATTTTTATTATTATTATTTTTATTATTATTATTTTTATTATTATTATTACCACTAATAAAGATTTGCCGCGATGATGGACCGAGATTAAATGAAATTCCCAACACTTTCTTGGGGAAAGTGGACACACTACCTTCTTCTGTGCTAACTTGTCGGAGATGGACCATATCTCCTTTGTTGCCAACCAGGGCAATGGGGGTGTCACCACAGAGCGCTTGTTTCACTCTCCGGACAAAGTTGAAGGAACACCGATCAGTAATGGCGTACACCAACAGAAATCCGTCCGCCCAGTGCAACGTGTCGGCACTCGGTAGATCGTCGTCTGCCTGAAACAAAAAATAACACATGCAAAGAAAGTTTTAATAATGTTATGTAGAGCTATTTCAATACACACTACACTACAATACACACCATACAACACACTACAGTGAAGAGATAACAAAAGCAATCACAACTACCCTCTTCAAATCCATTAAAATATTTAGGTCTTCTTATTGACAGACACGCAACATGGAAAGATGAGATCAAAACAAAAGCAAATCAAACTTTTATAAACATGGTAAAATCATACCCTTAATTAATAAAAGTTCTAAAATTAATATATACACGACAATTACTATTGTAATATATTGCATAATACGATCATCTTAACATATGCACATGGAAATTGAAGAGGTGCAGTACCTACTCAAATAAAAAAATTAAAATATACAAAATATTTGTTTGCAGTCGACATTAAAAGCCCCGTATTTTATAGCCAATGTTCAAATCAAAAAAATATCGTCAGTAGATCCATTATCATCCTGGATTAGTAAAGTTTCGTCACGTTTCTATTCAACCTTCTTGTCCAGTAGGTATTCTCAGGTCTCTTCCATATACCCTGCTTTCGCTTTCTTGAAAGCTCCAACACCATTTGATAATCCCCTACAAATCCCCAACAAATCATTCCTCATTCATTATAGGTAACTCAAAAAGCATAGACAGTGATATTATAATTAAGAAGAAATCATATTACATCATACGCTTGAACAAACTAAACTCACAAAATTATAAAGTGTACTTGGTTCCAAATTGCAATTCGCTGTGTTCATAGGCTACCGTGGCCGGTAGTCATTGGATTCTTGGCTGTCTTGGAGGAGCCGCGTCTCTGTCCATCGAGCTGACGTTTTGGCTTTCGTGCTGTGGCCTTCTTCAGAGCTATACTCAAAGAGAGCTATACTTTCAGTATACGTATCTCTGAAGAAGTCCTCAACATGATGGCCGAGACGTCAACTCGATCGACTGAGACGCGGCTCATCCCGGACAGCCAATTATCCAATGCCAACACCTCTTCAGATAATAGGAAGTTCCCCGTACACTCATGTCTATATCTGGATTATTGGCATCTTGCTCTGAGTAAATGCGATAAGCAAACTGCGTAATTTGAAATGAACTTTTCAGTAAGATATTTAAATCAAAGTTAACGATATTGGTATTTGATGAAGAATTTGAATTTTCTGTAAAATAATGCCTGCAAAGGGTGCATGTTTTTACTAAGGTTGAAAGGAAATTTTTGTTCTGTTAATTTTGTTCCACCATTTCTGTGGTCAGTTTAGTCATGGATTTGAGAAACCGATAGAAATATTTTTTCCTGTAGTACGAGTAAATTTTTGTTTACTTTCGTGTCATTAACTTCTCTTATAAAAACGTGATCAATTCCATATTAATTTGAGAAATGGAATAAACTTTTCTTTCTGGTCTCAGTTTGTTTCTGTATAAAGTGTAAGCAAACAATGCCCATTGATTAAGTATTAATTTTCATTTTGCATAAATGATTTAATGAAATGGAGTGAATGCACCTTCTACAAAGAATCATTAATTAATTAATATTTTTCCAAGAGTTTGCATAACATGTTCTTTTCAAGAGTGTGCACCTTTTATTAGATTACACAAATTTCTTCTCGATGAGTATTTGTGAATTCCAAATTATTTACCAGTCCTTCATTAACCTATTCCTCAAACTTCTAAAACCCATCGAGGACGTACATCGAGTCGAGATTCAGAGAATAGCTCAACGGCGTTGTGTGTTGCGCTTCCACTTAGGTGAAGAGAGTTACAACTTCGAGAGACAATGCATTGTATGTGAACCAGGATCCATGTAAGGACCGACCGCTTGCATGCCGCGTATTAGGCGTGTAAATTTTGAGAGTACTGCCAGGTAACGAATATATATATATATATATATATATATATATATATATATATATATATATATATATATATGAACACGAGTGTTATTAAAGTGTAAATGAGAAAAATTCGAGTTACCAAAAAATTTGAATTATTGAGAATGGAAAAAATCGAATTTCGGAGACCCACTTTATTTCCTAAAAGTGTATTTACGAGAGTCCCTTCTTCTATGATTGGATGAGAGATGTTGTTTGATATAAATTATATCTAATATAATCGATAAATGCTCTACCGGGATTAATTGTAAGAAGCAGTTTCAACTAATAGTTTCAACTTATATGCTAGTATGTAGCGTTTTTTAATCCAGACCTATTTACAGCTTTCTATTCTTGTTAAGTGCTTTTAAGATCATCAAGACGTACGACTAAACGTCTTCCCTATACACGTCGACAGATCTGGCCCGCTTATCTCGAAAACAAAATGTGCAGTTCGTCAGCAATGCAACGCGCAAAGCACGAGTGACTTGCGGCACCAAATGTATAATTTGATAGGCGCAATCCTCAATGGAGAGTGTGTGGAATAAGAGAAGAGCTTCAAGATTCAGCTGACACAAGTTTGACGTATGGAACTCAATCACTTAATTTATATCCAATAATCAAGAACTGTTCCAAATGTAAAGTGTTATTTCCTAAAAGCACAGCTAGGTTTTTCTAGCACCCTTACCACTTCACGTCGTCTTTAGCAAAGCTTTTGTTTACTCATTACTTTCTATACTGAAAGTGATTACATTAATAGTGAGCCTTATTTCTTTTGATATAAGGTTTGATTGTTGGTTGTAATTGATGAAATTTTATTGTAATATTCAATGTATAAGTATTCTTGCACTACTTGTAATAGATTCACGACGCAAAATGAGAAAAAATGCAATGTAATAGCGAAAGAACATATCAAATTATGATGTACACCACTTATATTATTCTCCCTGCTTTTACTGCTTACACGAAAAATCGGTTTTTTTATCACTTATCATTAATATTAAATAATTTGCTATTGAATTCTTGGTTTTCAATTTACCATTAGATTCATGTTGTCATCTTTACTTTTCTTCCTCATAATATAAAGTATTGATCGGAAAATCCATAAAAATATTTTTAGATGTACTAAACACACGTGAGGATTAAGGTCTATACTATAAGTGCTGTATGAAAGATGGTTAACGTTGGTGCAGGTATACATAATATTGTGTACCCAAAGATAGTATTGTACGAATGGATGTTCGCATGGATGGTTGCATGTGTCACCAATAACTCTGTCAGATTAGAAGCTTTTGAGCTGAAACTTAAAAAATACATCAGGATTAAAACCTAGTTGTGGCCTTCCAAAAATTATTAAAATATTTTTATGTTGGGGAGTATTTTATACGATGCCCCTATGACATTTTCAGCATTTTCTGGACGAGGATCAAACGTTTTTCTTGATTTTATTTTTCTCCTATAGAAAAAAGCAAATGTATACGTATAGTATAATTCCAATTGTCATTGAAATATCTGACACTGTTATCTGACAGACAATTGCAAACTTTTTTTAATATTTTCCACACTAAGGATTTTTGTATAGAAAAAAGCTTGAGCAATTTAGACAAGCATTCCAAATTTCGTGAGTATTTAAATGAAAGATAGCAGGCTCCACTTATTTTATCGCTTGCTATTATAAACCAGTTTTATATAATAAAAACTCATTTTTAATAAAACCATACAATTAATAGGATGAAAGCTTATCTGCCGTTCTTTGTTAATTATTTCATTGTGAGAGTTTTAATAGATCTATTGAAAGCATTGGGCATTTCCTCTTCGAGAAATCATGTGAGAGTAAGATAGTTGTTAGAGAAGACATAGTGAGTTTCCTTAAGTTCGAAGAGTTCTTTTAAACACACAAATTTGTGAATGTATGTAAATGCAATGTTTAGCAATCATACTGGCTTAGGTAACTCAAAGCATTAATTGATGTCTCTACAGTGCGCCTGACTGGAAAGTCCTACGTTACGAGTCGATACAATGGCAGAATTTTCGACACTAGCTAGATAGCTAGGACGAATACAGCCTCTGTCTGGACGAGAATTCTAGCTCTCTGATCGGTAGTTTTCCGTGGGTTCTCCGATCAACACCAGGCGAATGCCGGAGCGGTACCCTAACAAACGGGTCAATGACCGTGTGCGATCTGTTCATATCTTACACTTTAAGTAGTTCTCGCCGCTACCTCTAAACACGAATTCAACACTAATTCACAATGAACATGTAAATAATAAAAAATACAATATACATAGTACCAATAAATGGCAGGAGCTTCATGGTTCATTTCTACTCAAGTTAATTTAAGTGTGTCAGGAATGCATTAACACATTTGTTTAAGATTCCGTTATATGCGTACTGAGGCTACATTTATTGACACGAAAAATTAGGTAATTTATCTTCAGGGCGATATAATTGCCATTTCCCACATTTCCCACATACATTTCCCATTCTTACCATAAACATTATAAATGTTTTATATTAAAATTGCGGGGTTACATTCTAAGATAGTAGGAAGCTATATTTTTCTTTGGAGATAACGACATGTATATTACATACAGCATGATACGATCAGTTTTCATGTATTATATATATGTAAATGTATAATAAACATATGTAAATACTATTTTAAAATGGTTGTAAAATCAAATCTAGAGCAGGTGTTCAATAAAAGCGTTTAGGTACTGTTAGAGGTTTCTAACGTGTTTCCTGTTTTTACGTACGTTTTCGATTGGACGACTCGTAAGAACTCTTTCTTATGAAGATACATTATTACCTATTGACGACAATGATTATGAACCACAACATTGAATTTCCCGACTTTCAAACACTCTCCCATGAGCCATTAATGATCAATTAAATTAATAACAAAATTATAATTTGAGTTTTCGCTTCTTCTACTACAAAAAATATGTATTGTTTCAAAAGAAACAATTCTCATACTGGAATTACATGAATGATGAAATTTTCGTAATTAAAGAAAACAATCAAAAAAAGAATTTATCCTTCAGAAAAAGTATCTCAGTCTGTTTACTTATAAGTTATAACTAAACGAATTTATTTTTCAACCTACCTTCGAGCATGTATCCAATATTTCAAAAAGAACAGGTTCTCCATCCACCAGGATTTCATGTTTGTAGCGAGTTTCTGCAAAGACACGCAATTTTTATTACACGACGAATATAACCCACTAACAAATTATGAAATGATTGATTCGTCACGTCTCACCTGATTGATGATCATACTCTCCAATGTAGCGACGTGTAAGAAAACGCACAGTCAAGGCTGAAAAAACATTAATAAAACCAGTAAACAATAACGATCGCAATTAATTAATTTTTTAAATAATGTGAATTTCACAACTGCTATTACGTTGTTATACAGAACAGAGAGATACAAAAATGTTTAATTTAACATTTTCCCTATTTTCACAATATTTAATGGAATACACATTTTAAAATAATATATTTGAATGGGTGAAAACCAGAACAGTGAGAGTGACTTTTTATAAATTCGGAGAAATCTATTTATTTAAGTCAATTTTTATTGTAAAGTCGTTGTGCTTTGCTTCATCATTAAAATCATGGCATTTGAATTGTTCATTACAACCATGAAAATACATTGACACTGAAAGCCTAAAATAAACACGTTTTTCTCAGAATTTATAAAATTTCACTTATACCGCTCTGGTTTTCATCCATTCAGTAAACAGATATTATCATACATTCAAAATTTGGCTAATAAAACTGAATATTTCTATAAATTTTACGAAACAATATTATAACAATATTGTAACAATAAATAATACGTCACCATTTGAACATCATTAATTTTTGATGAACTTGGAAACACGGAAAGTAATTAGTTATTTGTTAATATTTTAGATTATCACATAGTACAATGCATGTCAACAATTTCCGTATTTTCATAGTTTATTCCAATCCTACTCACGTCGTAAAGCATCTCTTGTGAATAATAAGTTTACAAAAAGGGCAAACATTGATGACCCCAAGAGCCGAAATAAAATTTAACTAACTAGCAGTACAGTATGACAAACTTTCCATATTAGTTTTCTATTTTCTTTGGTATCGGCTAGCTCTAAGAACTTGCCACATATTCTGTCCAGCTGCCATTTATTGCCACCCAAAGTCCATTTTTTAAAATTTTTCTTAATTTTTTCGTTTCCTAATTCTAGAACAGAAATATTATTAAAAACATTAAATATCAGTAATACCTCGTCAAAAATGGCGATTTCTTTTTTCCAGATTTTTTCGCTGAAAATGTGCAAATTAACGGCGAGAGAGATCTTAAAAATATCACGTTTGTGTAATTCATGAAAAAACAAAAATTTACCTCAATATCAACATTATGTCATATTAAAGACTGGAATTCGCACAACCCGCTCGAAAAGTTTGTAGAAAAAATGTTCAGTCGTTTTTGAAACAATGGCTTTTGAGCATTTCTGAAAATGCGGAATTTTGAGCTAGTTTTCACATAAAACGGTTGAGAAACTTCAAACGATATTATTTAAATCACATGTATTCAAATATATGAAAATGTGAACAATGTGAACATGGTGCTAGTATAAATGTCAAAAAAGTCAAAAAAATTACACTTTTTTAATTTAAATGAGGATAGAGCAATATGGCGTTTATGTAATTTTATAGAGTGCATTTTTGACCAAAATTTTTCATAAAAAATTTGAAGCTCTTTTTGAAAAAATCTTGTCTTTGTAATCTTTTTAAATTGTACATATTGCTGGCAATATTGCGCGAAAACTATTAAAATTTTGAAAAAATGTACATGACATTAATGAAAAAACTCACTATGAGGAACAAATTTTATTTAAAGGGAAAAATTATATCTTGAATTTTGTAGTTAAATGAAGATGCCGAAAAAATATTAAAATTTTTAAAATTTTCGAAATTCAGAGTTATTAGTGAAAATCGGACCTATGCTACCTTTATAGATATATTTTACTCTGTTCGTACAAGAAATTTAAAGAAAAAATTGAGCCTTTTTCAAGAAAATTTTGAAAATGTCTGGGGGGCTTCATGTAAAGTACCCCCAAATTTTAAAGAAAGTTTTTCAACATCTGAAAGCTTCGACTCTATCCAGATGGACAGGGGTTTCATCAATTTGGAAAATGTCCTACGCATGGTTTAGGCGCTAGTGGTGTTCACAGATGTTCAGACAGAAAAAAAAACACTTTTGAAAAAAACACTTTTTCGGTAACAGGGAACCCCAAAGCGTTAATTTCCGATGAATTCTCGGAATCGATTTTCCGCTGCTATATTACTCCGTACATACGTACGTATACGGGAAAGTAAAAAGTAGTATTTAACCTATTATTAAAGTGTGCAACTTTATTTATTTGGAGATTTATTTGCGATCTTTCTTCAAATTTTCCAATTTTAAAATTCGTTAAATTTTACTTGTACGATCGTTGACTAGTTTTTCCTATGTTCCATTTGCATATTTTTTATTAAATTGGGGAATACATGTTCATAAAATTACTGTTAAGATAAACGTCAACTAAATGAACGACTGCATTTCGCAACGTCGGGGGCAAGAGTTATTTTCTCGCCTCAGTTCTCCATAAAGGCTTTTATGAATACACACACTGCTCTGTAAAGTAAATAGTGTTGCGTCAGATTTCTCAAGTGTTAAGAGAAGCGGATGATGCTATCCACATCACCACTTAAGTGTTGAGACCCTGCAACGGAAGGTAGCTCTACTCGCAAATCTTCAGAGGAGCTTGGAAACCTTTTTTTGTATCTAGTTCTCAAGTCATCTTCGTAATGTTGGACGACGTCTGTGAAGAGTAGAATTACCCGCTGAAATGGTTCAGGGCACGAGTTGATTACTACAGTACGTCTGACCTAGAAGTCATGTTTAGAGTCCTAACGGTAGGACTTCGACACTAGCGAGATAGCTAGGTGGAATTCAGCCGCTCATTTCTGGTAAGAGAATTCCAGCACACGGCTGCTCCGATCGAGTTTTTCGAGGTTGATGAATCAACACCAGTTGAATGCCGGAGCCGTTTCCTAACAAATAGGCCATGAACCGTGCACGATCTTTCCTTCCCCTTCCTTGTCCTATCCTCGCCTGTTACTTACACATACTTACACTTACATGCACTACACTACTACACTAGTCGTGATTCATAGAGCTTGTCCAAGAGCAAGTCCAAAACCACACATATCGACGTGCAGGTCGACTCCGGAGCTCACTGTCCATCGGTGAAGGAACGCCGCCTTCACCAACTCTACCACCACCACCACCCGTTATGAAACCATGCGCTACATTTACGGGACTATTGTCCACAGCCGTTGATGTGCCCGCAAACACAGAATATTCAACCAAATAAACTAGAGTGACTTCTTTCACACGCCTCTTACCACTCTTCCCAACGGCGGGTGCCCCCACTACAGCCACCTTCACCTCCGATAAGGTGGACTTCTTGCGCCGGATGCCACGAATGGCGTTGGAGGTCATGGTGCGTCTGTAACAGATACATCCACGTTTTAATCATAAGCACAAGAGCAAAAATAAAACAAAAATAAGGTCAAGGCTGCGTGTGGAGGAGTTAGAAAGTAAACATTATGAAAATATCTAGGACGCGCGGGGAACACGGCAACAGAAAATCCCTATTTTTTTTTGGTTTTTGCTAGATATGTCGAAAACGAAGCGTTGAAGCGAACAAATTCTAGATATAAAATAAAAGCTATCACTTTTTTATGATGTTTGTAGTTATTTTTTTGTTTTCAGTTCCTTTTCAATTATTTCCAACCGAAAAATGAAAAGTTGTATATGTTTTTATAATCTCACGTTTGAATTTTCCTTTAAATCGTTTGAATCGTTTTTTATCTGCTTGATCATATAGCGATAACTGTGATTTTGGGTAACTGTAAGGGGAACATAAGGACAACATGATCACACACAAACATCCATGCCCTAGGCGGACTTCGAACTAGCGACCGTTCGAGCCGAGGTAGCCAAGGCTTTTCAGCCACAGAGATCTCGGATATCCAGGCCCGACATTGCAAACTTTGTCTTACAGTGTATTATCCCTTAGTTTTATAACACTATTATCATTGAAACATTTGTAGGAAATTGAATATCATTTTAAAAAGTTAGTTTTTTATCTTCTAATGATCAGATGTTATATAATTTGAAATTATGACATTCTCAATTTCGTTTTTTGAGTGCTGAGATTTCAAAGGAAAAATTTGGGGAATATTACCGCGCCTCAATTCCCCCAACCAGGTAAATATATTATGGTATTGTCATGATAACCTGGTGAAGAAATCGAAAACATAGCACTTGTCTATACTGTGCAAGATCAGCAGGTGATGTAAAATGCGCCTGTTACTGTCAGAACGAAATGCGAATTACTGCATCAGGTAGCTGAATTCAATATGCGGAGGAATGAATTGCGGAGGTTTCATGATAGAAAGAATTATGATATTAGAATGATATTAAGAATCTGAATTAAATCTCTTGAATTGGACGTTAAAATATCATTGTTATCATTATTGATAGTAATAAATATTTAATCGCAAGGAATGCGACTGCAATTAATGGAACTGAAACAATTTATATTCAGAAAAATCGTACTTTGTTTTTGCCAAATATCATTTGATACACATGATCATTAATTGCCAACATGATACGTCTTGTGATTCTTACACCAAATCAATCATTAAATACTTCTCCCAAATAATTGAAATGACGTATAGAAAGTAAAAAATCACGGAGATGTGACAAATTGAACTTTTAGTTTACAAATATTAATATTTATTTAAGAAACAGATTTAAATTAGGCAGGTCCAAATGCAATCCTGCAATACATGACCCACTTAACGGTCTCTTTCTTAAGATCGATAAAGCATAACACGGAAGATACGCATGCTAGAAATGACATCCTTAAATTCCAGTTTATGAAGTCAGACACTCAATTATGTTCATTTCGACATAATTTTTTAATGTGATCTTCTAAAACGTACTATTTCATTTCGGAAAATTCAGCTCTTCTGAAATATCCCGTTACTTCAGGCATGGAGTTTTGTTACACTAATACAGGCATGCGGTTAGAGGGACTCCGCTGTAAATCAATTAATGAATTTTAAAAACCAAATAGTTAAATATTGTGAAAGGGAATATTTCTATTATATAAGTTATTTCTTTATTAAATGCAATATAAAAATATTACGGCTTGTTTCTTGATAAAATACTTTAAATTTAAACAATTGCAGTTTCAGCCTTGTTTCAATACATTATCTTTTTCTTCTTTCAATTCTAACTAAGGTATTGACTTAAAACACGCATATTTTATTGTTTACATTGTTAAATACACAACAAACGTTGAGAACTAAAATGAACTGAAAACAAAAATATGTTTGTAGAAAATGTGTGTGTCTCACATAGGACTAATTAAGAGCTCTAACACGAACATGCGGTCTCGGTCTATGAGACCGCTTCAAAAGTTCAAAGTGTCACAAACCTTTCCGGTTGGATCCAAACAGGAAACTGATAGTCGTGACTATTAAGGAACGATGATAAATGAAGGTAGGGAAAACGACAGTATCACTACACAGTGAGAAATGATTCAAATATAACCTTGAAAATTCGTTGAGGTCATCCTGACCTATGCCTGTAGTTACGGGATATCCCCACACCATGGTTAGAAGGGGAGTGCAGTGCATTAATTCTGTAAAAAAAAGATTTCGCTAACATAGTACGAAGGTGGGGAGAAAAGGGGGACGGTTTTACACGCGCGAGAATGCTTTCCCGGCTACGCAAGTATAAATGAAATTCAACAGCATTGGACAAAAAATAGGTCACAGCTGTAACAAACGATAATCAATTTTGGTTCGATTATATCAAATTATTACAATTTTAGGTATATTGCTTTTTGTAAAAACAAATAATCAATGTCTGTTGAAGTTTATGAATTAATTAATGAGTTTATGAGAAGACTGAATCTTTGTGAACACTATGAATCCTTGAAATGCGATTAATTCCACACCCTACATATTTCATGACAACAATATTAATTCGGAGGAAACATATATCATATCGGATAACTTGAAGTAATCAATTTAAAAATTAAAATAACGTGCGGAATCAGCAAGAAAGATTGCTGTAATAAAATTCCACTTGAAAAATTGAAATACGGCTTATGTTATGATTAGATGTTAATTCGTACATTAAATATTTGGATGAAAATGTATTTGATTACCCAAATATGAGACATCATGTGAGTTTGCGATGGTATTTTGCCATTAAAATGCGTTAGAAATTATGCGGTACACAGACTCAGAGTTGTTTTATATAAATCGCTAAGGTCGAAGGCCGGAGCCTCGGCGTCTACTCGAAAATGCGTAGCGAAGTTATGTCAACTGAGACAGCGAAGTTACGTTAGGTTAATTCGATCGTGTAAACAGAAATTCACATGTGACACAGGGGCACTTTGGCTATCTAGCGTTAAATATTCTCTTCCTGCAGTTAACCACATTTCCCTATTTCTCGTCATAGTGACGTACCCTAGCAACCTTGTTTTAGCTAATGTGCACTTTACCGGCTTAAGTTCAAAGTATGCTATGAAGGTAATCCTACTTCGAACGTTATTCAACCGTTTCATATAACATGGACGTTAAACCGCGTAATCGCGAATTAGCGAGATTTGCACATGAGCCTAACATAGAACAGAATGCTGCCAATCTAACAAGTCTAATATAAGAAACTGCCGTAGACAAAAAGTATCCTAAGATTGACTACACTAATATTGTGTATTAATTAGTATCAACCAAGTATCAGTCAAGTACTAAGTAGACGTGAAACATCGATTTTGTTCACCAACTCGTTTCAGAGAAAACGTCTCCAAACCGTCACCGAATGTTTTAATCATTTCTTTAACAGATTTTCTTACTTCATAATTTACGTTATTCATAACCAGATTTTCTTTTGTCTTTCTTGCGCGGGATTTAACGTGGTTGAAACATACGTAAGATAACCAATGCTAGTAGTCCTGCTGTAGTCCTGCTAGTAGTTCTACTTCTACAGGATTTTAGCATTCATAAACTGTTCATCTAAGCATCGTGGAAAGTGTTGTGAGACAGTTTATCTTTAACCCACCCTCGTTATTTTGTAAAACACAATGAAATACAACAAGCATTTGTGACTGATCATCCCGGAGAGAACTAGGTCAAAGCAAAAGGTCTATGTCTCTACCAAGGAAGATGACGCAGGGCTCTAGTGTCACCCGAATGTAAAACAGTTTCCTGCGCTCACCCTTCAGTTTGATACAAGACAGAATCCACGAATAGTGGCTGGTGCACCAGAAACTCGTAATAAATCTGCTCTAGCGAGCACTGAAAACGTTCTTACACTCCGTTCTCGTTTGTTTTCTCCCAGCAGGTTTTCTCTTGTGGGTCGTAATTCTGTGTGACCCATTGTGTTCTGTCAAGAGTGAAGCATATTGTTGATCTTGAACTCCTTGTTCATGTTGCAAGAATGAGATTCGTGTATTTTCTTTGGATTTGATTCAGATAAAGAATCTCGAGCAAGAGATTATGTAGGTCCTTCGCGTAACAGTAAGAATATTTAGGGTTACAAGTGGCTTGGCGGAATAGCGCTTTGCATAATAGAAACAATTGTCTGCTGGTGTCATTGAGAAATAAGCAAGGACCCAGTTTTGAAACATGAAACACTGGACCACATACATCACACAAGGATTTGCATGAATGGTTTGTGGATGATTTGGGAAATTAATGTAATGGAAGTAAAGATAGGTAGAAACATAGATTATTATCTGGAATAAAACTTCCCAAAATTTTCTTACCTGCCTTTTTAAGTATTTTTATTTATTAGTTTTTTAAATATTTAAGCAAATTTATTTTAGTGAAACAATCGTATTCAACCTATTTGTGATTTGAAAATAGAGAACCTTTTCAGATGTGTTTGATTTAATGTCTGGTTAGGAACATTTGAATTCTACTATAACTGAAAACGCAATGATCGGTTGTACGTCATGGACAAAAATAAATAGCCTTCAGAAGATTGTTCTGCGACATTGAACTGCAACACGGTCACCAACTCACTTCCGGCTTCAGAAAATAGTTCTGCGTCCAAACTGCGTATTAGCTTAGGCTGAAATAACGACAAAGAACCTTGAAAGTGAAGTATTCAAAAAAGTGTTTAGAACAAATAAAATGAAATGATAATATTTCAAATATTGTTGATACAGAAATCCAAAAATATTCGTTTAATAAGTATTACTATCATCAGAAAAAATCGAGAATAATTATATTCATTTTATATCATAATGATATTGCATTATATTTACATGATCCTCTATAAAATATTAGCAATATTTATTTTCATTTATAGTATTATGGAAATAATAATATACAAATTGCATTGAATGAAACAATATAATTAACTATCACAAAAGCAGATTACTTATATTTTAGTTGGATAAATAAGTAAATATAAGTCCAA